ATAAAGAAAAGAATATACACATTTCCCCCTATGCCATATTTAGAGTTGCTCCTATTTGGATGAGATTAGGTAAAGGATCTAGAAAGAAAGCCAAATAAATGAAAAATAAACAAAAATCCAACAAACAACTTACAATATTGCTCAGGTGAAAGCAAATATAAGGGAAACTAAAGCCCTGATGAATAATGTTTACTTTTCCACAGAACTCCTTTTCAACATGTTATATATTTATCAAACCACCAGAGTGTAAATCCCATGAATAAGTCCTATCATCTCTCAACCAGTAGGCACCATGAAAATTATAACTACAGGACATTAGTAGTATTATAAAAGGCTACTTTCTGTAGATTCCAACACATCTACTTCTGCAATTTCACCATGGGAAGGCATCTTTCCGCTTGGGCCACCAATGAGGGCACAGTCCAGGAAAGGATCCCATCATATCTAGCCCCAAGCCAATGCTCACTGTATTTATTTATCAGAAATAAAGATGAGTCAGCCTGGCAGAAGTGGGGGAGCTGGTGCGGGAGAGCTCTGGGAATGTTGCTTTTCCTTGTTTTGAGGTCATTGTATTTGTGGGTAGAACAAATTGTAGGTGGCTTTACACAAACTGTAATTTAGCCCAGCACATACAACCACTTGGAGCCATGAAAATGCCTGTGCCAACCATGCACACAGCACTAGGACTCCCTCCTTGGCACTGAACAAACTAAATAGCATTTTGAGTGGCTGATTTAACCCCACATGACTGTAAAAAAGCTGTTTATAAAAGGAACGATTTCCTTGTTGACTAGTTGAAAGGAGGCTTCTTTTAGCAATTTTAGCTTAGTATTTTCATTTGCCCTGACAAATATTCACTAGAGAGGCCTTTAGAATAGATAATATAACCTTGCAAAGCGCTTCCTGGCCTTCTGGTAGTCTGATCCATCAGAGGCTTATTTATGTGAGGAACCTCTGGAATTACAATGACAGGCCAGTGCAGGGCAGTCCTGCCTGGAACAGAAGGTCTCTCAGCCTGGCTACTTGTTCCACCCAGACCAGGATTCCAAGTGGCCATTAGGAGGACTGTGCGATGGTCATCAGAGAAACTTGTCAATCACTTTTTGACAGTCCACATTCTGTCTGCTAGTATTCACAGAGCCCCTTAGCAGTGTGTTTTTGTGAGGCGTAGCTTATAATGGGAGGCATTTGCAATCAGTGTACCGTATAGCATATGGGGAAAGTGTTAAGGTTATATAATTTTGTAGAGAAGGATATTTTGCAAGGTGTCATGAAGAAATACAGTCATTTGCCTCATAACAGCGTTTTGGTCAAATAATAAGTACATATATGACAGTGACCACAGAGATTATGATGGAGCTGAAACACTTCTGTTGCTCGTGACCTCATAGTGCAAAGCAGGGCTCACAAGTTTGTGGGATGCTGGTGCAAACAACCTGCTAGGTGGCCAGTCATCTAAACGTCTAGTATTTACATTATTATATACAGCACCCGATACTTGATAATGATAATAAACAACTATGTTACTGGTCTCTGTATTTGCGATACTGTACTTTTTATCGTTATTTTAGTTACCTGTATAACAGCCTCAGGCACGTCCTCCAGGAGGCATTCCAGAAGGCTCTGTCATCATAGGGGATGATACAGCTCCATGGATGTTATTGCCCCGGAAGCCTCCTGGTAGGACAAGCCTCCAGGTAGAAGATGGTGATATCCATGAGCCTGACCCTGGGTAGGCCTGGGCTAATGTGTGTGTTTGTGTCTTCGTTCTTAATGAATTTAAAAAGTAACATAATCATAATAAGTCTTAAAAATAGAAAAAAGCTTATAGAATAAATATATAAACATATTCTTATACATTGTGTTTTAAACTCAACATTATTATAAAGGAGCCAAAGGTATCAAAGAATTTAAAAAGCTTATGAAGTAAAACTGGTATGGTAAACGGAGGTGAGTTTGTTTATTTATTTATTTAATTTCAAATTAATATGAGGGTACAAATGTTTAATTGCACTGTTTTCCATTCTAATGTAAAGTTCCAGTTGTAGCTAAGCCCTTCACCCAGGGGGCCTGGTGGACACCCTCACATTGTGCCCTTCCTGAGAGATCCCGCCAATCCCCCTCCCTCTTCCCCTCCCCTTCCCTTCTCTTCCATCCCCCTTGCTAGACTAATACTTGTGTTTTTTCTTTCGTGTGGCCATGTAGTCATTTGTATATTGGTTTCACATTAGTATTGAGTACATTGGATAGTTTTTTGTCCATTCTTGAGGTACTTTACTGAGAAGAATGTCTTTCAGCTCCATCCAGGTGAACACAAAAGATGTAAAGTCTCCATTTTTTCTTATGGCTGAATAGTACTCCATGGTGTACATATACACAGTTTCTTGATCCATTCATGGGTTGATGGGCACTTGGGTTGCTTCCTTCTTTTGGCAATTGTGAATTGGGCTGCAATAAACATTCTGATACAAATATCTTTGTTGTAATGCGATTTTTGTTCTTCTAGGTAGATACTTAGTAATGGAATTGTGTGATCAAATGGAAGGTTAATTTTACTGCTTAGAGGATTCTCCACCTTCTTTCCATAAAGGTTGTATTAGTTTGGAATCCCACCAGCAGTGCAAAAGTGTTCCCTTCTCTCCACATCCACACCAGCATCTGCAGATTTGGGACTTTGTGATGTGAGCGGAATTAAGTGACATCTCAGAATGGTTTTGATTTCATTTCTGATGATTAGGGATGATGAACATTTTTTCCATTTGTTTGTTGGTCATTTGTCTGTCATCTTCAGACAAGTTTCTGTTCAAGCCTCTTGCCCACTTATAAATGGGGTTGCTTGTTCTTTTCTTATTAATTTAGGTTCTCTGCAGACTCTAGTTATCAGCCCTTTGTCAGATTCAAGCATGCAAATATCTTCTCCCATTCTGAAGGCTGTCTGTTTGCTTTAGTTATGGTACCCTTAGCTATGTAAAAGCTTTTTAGCTTGATCATGTCCCATTTATTTATTTTCGGTGCTCCTGAAATTGCCAAGGGGCTCTTCTTCATAAAATCTTTTCCCCGGCCAAATTTGACAAAGGAAAGAACGTACAATACTTGTGGCTGGGCAGAACCAAGGTCATCAAAATGTCCACCTTACCCAAAGCAATCTACAGATTTAATGCAATCCCCATCAAGGCACCATGTCATACTTTGAGGAACTTGAAAAGATAGTACTTTGTTTCATATGGAACCAGAAACCCCCCCAAATAGGCCAATACAATTTTTAGAAATAAAAACAAATCTGGAGGCATCATGTTACCAGACTTCAGGTTATACTACAACTCTATAGTGATCAAAACAGGGCAGTACTGGCACAAAAATAGAGATATAGATCTAGGTAATAGAATAGAGAACCTAGAGATCAACCAGCTACAAATTCCCATCTGATCTTTGGTAAACCAAACAAAAGAATACACTGCAGAGAAGAATCCCCATTTAACAGATGGTGCTGGGAGTATTGGTTAACCACGTGTAGAAGACTGAAACTAGACCCGCACATCTCACCACTGACAAAATTTGACTCTTGGTGGACAAAAGATTGAAACTCAAGATACGAAACAATAAAAATTCTAGAAGAGAATGTGGAGAAAACACTTGACAAAATTAAGATTCGTTTATTCTTGAAGACATTTTAAAATAAATTCAGTGTAGCCCAAGGGTACAGTGTTTATGAAGTCCACGGTAGTGTATGGTAACGTCCTGGGCTTTCACAGTCACTCGTCCACTTCTTGTGAACTCACTCAGAACAACTTTCAGTCATGAAGTTCTACTTGTGATATTGCCCTAGACAGGGGTACCATTTTTTAATCTTCTTGCTGTATTTTTACTGTACCTTTTCTATGTTCAGAGATGTTTAGATGCACGAATACACACCATTGTGTTACCCATTGCCTGCAGTGTGCAGTGCAGTTCCATGCTGTGCAGTTTGTAGTCCGGGAGCAGTGGACTGTGCCATGCAGTCCAGGAGTGTAGCAGGCTGTGTCATCTAGGTTTGTGTAAGTGTACTCTATAATGCTCATACGATGACGAAATGCCCTAATGACATATGTCTCAAAACACTCCCTGTTGTTAAGTGACACATGACTCAACACTGCTGTCCCTTTGAGGTTTCAACAAAATCTGAAGCTAACCAACGTAAACAGCCTCTGCCTTCTCACCTCCAACTGCTAGACTGAAGTGTACAAAGACAATAGGAGATGTTTTTTATTTTCTCTTTCTTGGCACCAGGAACATCTTATGAAGAATTTTGGGTAAGTTGTTTCCCCCCCCCAAAAAAAATTAGTAAAAATAATCCATCAACTACCTAGTTGATTGATAACCTATTCTGTGCTTGGTATTACAAAGGATTTAACAAAGTACATACAAATCATAGTCCTTCTCTTGGCTTAAAATTCATTGATAAAATAGATAGAAATGTCAAAGTATAAGTATCAACATGACTAAGCACTAAAGAAATGGTATAGACCAGAGTTCAGCAAACTGTCTCCATAAATGATAGAGAATGCATAGTTTAGGCTTGCATGTTATACATTCTCTGTCTCAACTACTCAGTTCTGCTACTTTTGTGAGAAAGCAGCCACAGATGACATGTAAGTACATGAGCACAACTGTGTTCCAACAAAACTGTCTTTACAAAAATAGACCGCAGCCTGGATTTGGCTGGAGGATCATTATTTGCTGACCCTTGGCATAGACACTAAATACTCTGGGTATTTAGAGAAATGCGGAAGAGTTCCCATGGGTGGAAAGGGAAGTCTTCTTGTGGTAGTAGGAGACTATGCAGACCCCAGGTGGAGAGGGGAGCACAGTGTGAAAGAAAGCTACCTTAGAGGAAGCTGTGTCTGGGGCGGGTGGGAGTAAGAACACAACAAAATGGGCCTCTCCATGAAAGCACCCTGGATCAGTCCATTGTGTGGCTAGAAAGGAAATAACTGAGGCTGGAAAACTTAGAAAGACAAGAGGTTTATTTGGCTCCTGGTTCTTCAGTCTGTATGACAAGCATGGCTCCAAGCATCTGCTTCTGGTGAGGACTTCAGGGAGTTTCCAGTCTAGGAGGAAGGGGATGGGGAAGCAAGAGTGTTACACAGCAAAAGCAGGAGCAGGAGGCGGAGGAGGTGGGGCCAGGTGCTTTTACACTGCGAGCTCTCACGCATGACCTGATAAAGGGACAACCCACTCATTATCCTGGTGAGAGGACCAAGCCATTCATGAAGGCTCCTCCCCCATGACCCAAATACCTCCCATCACACCCCATATTAACACTGAAGATCAAATTTCAACATGAGATTTGGAGGGGATGAACAGCCAACCGTACCACACCCCTAGAAGGAAGGGCATTTCTGCTTGAGATTACCTGCACAAGTCAGGTCCTGAGCTGCATGTTCCTTAAACCGTGGTGCCAGGTTTAGGGGCTTTCGCTTTTCCATCCATCTGTTTTTCCAACCTATCTCTTCTCACAGGACTGGCATTTCAGGATCCAGAGTACCGAGATGTCAGCCCAGAAGAATAATGAAATTAGAGTTGGATGAGTATTTGGGGGAATTTCTTTGTGATGTTTTCTCTGAATTGTCCAAAGCTGCACACCAATCCAAGCGACAGTAGTTCTGAATGTCTGTGTCTCCATTGGCATGGGCTTCTAGTTTAAGCCAAATATTTAAGTCAAAAGGATGGCATTTCTTAAAGTATATTAATCTGAATAGTAGTCTGCCCCGATGATTCCATAAAAGAAGGTTCTGTGGTGCAAATCAAGCTTCCTCTTGGAGATCAACAAGGTACATAGGTGAATTAAAGGATATGAAAAACTCTGTTGCAAAGAAATCTTTTAAATTTGCACAACTATATATTTCCTGAACATTTGGCCATGAGACCATTTTCCATGGAGCATCTGTGAACATCTCATGGAATTCACTTTGGAAAACAGTGATTTAGGGAAACAGATGTGGAAATAAATGTTGTTAGCAGTAACTCATGTGGCTTCAAATTAACATGAAACACACACACAAAGGGTGATGAGAGAAAGATTTAAAAACTCAAATGGCTCTTGAGGGATATAAACAAAGGCTAGAGTTGAACCAACTTATGTGTCATAGGTGCTCACTCCACCCATCCCCAATGTGCCCAGCCATGGCAGGTGAACAGGAGTACTAAAATGCTGAGATAAGAGCAAAAAATGAGGAGCAGGGTATTTAAACTTGTTTTCTTCTTCTTTTTCTTTCTTCTTGTTGATATGAAACTTCTGGCTTTATTCTCTTTTCCCATATCCTTCTGGAGCCTTTGTTTGACTGAAAATGATTGTCATCCTGAGCTATTCTCAGCAGACAGGATTGAGTTTAGAGGGAAAGTAAATGCATGATTAGCAAGTGCATAAACATCCTGGTCCAGGCCTAACTCCCCTCCTCTGCAGAGCAGAGGAAGAGCTGTGCAGAGGAGCGAAGCAACCATGAATTTACTTGACGCATCTGGAGAATTCACTGGGAGAGATTCTGTGAATTTTGCTGCAAATAAGTCACACATTACAATATAATTAAACATAATTGTATGTCAAAGAGGCTCTAGGTGGTGTCTCATAGCATTTACTTTTTGTTCTGTGTGCTTCCGGGACATCCTAATTTTTATGCACTCAATTGTTATCTAGTTCTGCCAACTCATTCACTTAGTTAAGTACTAAGGACCTTCTACATAACAAGGGCTAACAAATTAATGAATAATATGACAAGAGGCTGATAATCCAGATGGGGAGAAAGACACAAAACCAATAAATGTAATCAAGTGTTTAAATGTTAGGCTAGTTATCTGTATAGGGATAGGCGAATTTAAGAGAGGCAGCTGTCAGCTCTTTGTGGGGATGTCAGGAAAAGTTTCAAGCTTAGAACAAAATCTTGCAAAATGAGTAAGTGGGTGCTAAAAAGCAATCTATACCAGACAGATTCTTGCATCTTCCTGAAATAGTTTACTAGTTGGTAAAATATCAGTTCCATGTGTGTTTGGTTGATCAGCAAATTCTTGAACACATCTCATTTTTAAAACACGTTGTACTTGAAAATATTATATCATCAGTGATCTTTAAAGTAAGATGTGTGAATCCCTTGGTCAGTTTTTGAAAAAAAAGTCAGTAAAAAAAAATCAATTAGCTAGTTTACTGATAGCCTGTTCTGTGCTAGGTATTACAAAGGATTTAGCAAAGTACAAATTGTAGTCCTGCTCTCAGTGGGCTTAAAATTCATGGAGAAAACATACAGAATGTCTAAGTATAATTATCAACATGAAGAATCTGGATTGGATTAAGTGCTAAAGAAATGGTATAGACCAGAGTTCAGCAAACTTCCTTTATAAATGACAGATCGTAAATAGGGTGAGGGAGATTCAAGATGATCTACCAGGGTGTGGGAAAAAAATGCCCAAAACTTTAAAAATTTTATCTTATGCCTTTGAAATTTCTATTTTTGAGATTGTTTTATATTGTGCATGTGGCACAATAGGACATATTTTAAATTTATACATAAGTACATATATGTTTGGTGTACATGGTTGAATTTTTTTTCTTACCAGTGAGGAATGGGATCCAAAAGTTTATAGCCCATCTGCATTCATTATTCATCTATATTTGTTTATTTATTTTTAAGACAGAATATCTCTCACTTTGTTGTTGCCCTGGGTAGAGAGCAGTGGAGAGCTATCATCATAGCTCACAACAACCTCAGACTCTTAGGTTGGAGTGATCCTCTTGCCTCAACTTCCCTAGTAGCTGGAAGTACAGGCGCCTGCCAAAGCCCCTGGCTAGATCTGAGTTCAACCACCCCTCCAGCCTCAGCTTCCAAAAGTGTTAGGATTACAAGCATGGACCACCACGCCTGGCCTTCATTATTCATCTATGAAGCGATTGCCTTCTTAGGTTCTAGGTGGACGCGAAGTTTTTGGAGAAACTATTCAACTTACCACACTAATCTATTATTATCAACATGAAAAATGATATATTACTAAGTAGAAAATGTATTAAATAGCAGTATGCCTAGTGTGGTTCTATTTTTTAAAAAATAGTGTATATTCACATGTGTGTACACATGCATAGAAAAACATCTGGGAGAGCATTTGCAGAAATGTTAGTAATGCTTATCTCTGTGCGATAGGATTATGGGTGATTTTGGTTTTATTCTGTATTTTTTCCCATACAGTCTGAATGTTTCGCTATGAAGAGATAATTTAAAAAATCAATTTCTCTTTCTTTTTTTGAAATAAATCTATATTTGACTCAAATTTTCTAAATACTTTAATGACAGAGTATCAAGCCCTATATTAGGCTAATACTTTGATGCTTACAGAAAAATCACTTGAGGGAAAATGGTTAGAAAGGATTTTGCTTTTTGTTTGTACAGAAAAGCACTTTATCAGCTCTTCGCAGGTTCCTAACCTCAAGTCTTTTGTCACTATGTCCACCCCTCCCCGCCTCCAATTAACTGCAAAAATCCTCTAAAGCCAATTTTTTACTCTTGGTTATACTCATACGGCTTTTCCCTCCATAGAATCTTCAGATATCAGGCAAAAGATTTTACAAGTATTTTACAGCATGAATCACTATCCTCTTAAGTTTTCCATATGCAGAACCTCATCATTTCACAATATTATGACTCAAGGACGAGATTGTCTCAGATTTCTTTTTCTTCCCATTTTGTGGTTCCCCAGCTCTGAACACAGAGAAGTCAGCTAGGAAAATGTGGTTATGTGAAAGACTAATTTCTCGCTCTAAAGACACCTTTTAAAAATAAACGTTTGGTTTCCTAATTGTGTAATGTTTTGCGAGAAACTGAAGAATTTCTCCTAGGAGATAGGTTTTTTATTTGCAGGAATTCTGTTATTTTTCTCAACCACTTGGTCATTAATATATTAGTCAGCTATTCAAAAAGGATCATTTCTGTACTTTTTATTTCTACACTTAAAAAAATTCCAGTCCCCCCCCCAAAATTCCAATCCCTAGTAATGTTCAGATTGCTTTGTGCCACTGCCTTTGTAATTTAGTTTCATGTTTTGCTACATGAAAAAAAAACCTTGTAGACCCTTAAAATTAGGAATGCTGAGAATATTAATAGACATATATACAAAATTTACCATGAGTTCCTTACCAGACTAAGAACTCTCTGAAGGCACAAACCGTGTTTATTTATTTTATTATTATTATTATTATTTTTGAGACAGAGTCTGTTGCCCTGGGTAGGGTGCCGTGGCATCACAGCTCACAGCAACCTCAAACTCTGGAGCTTAAATGATTCTCCTGCCTCAGCCTCCCAAGCAGCTGGGACCACAGGCACCCACCACAATGCCTGGCTATTTTTTTTTGTTGTTGTTGTTGCAGTTGTCATTGTTGTTTTAGTTGGCCCGGGCCAGGTTCAAACCCGCCACTCTCGGTGCATGTGGCCAGTGCTCTGCAGACTGAACCACAGGTGCTGCCTTTTATTTATTTATTTTTTCTGAGAAAAGGTCTTGCTCTGTCACCCAGACTGGAGTATAGTGGCACTTTCAGAGCTCACTATAGCCTTGAACTGTTGAACTCAAGTGATCCTCTCACTTCAGCCTCCCAGATAGCTGGGACTACAGGCATGCAGTATTACACTTAATGAATTTTTAACTGTTTTGTAGAGACAGAGTCTTACTATATTGCCCAGGCTGGTCTCAAACTCTTGGCCTCAAGCAATCCTTTACCCTGACCTACAAAAGTGCAGGGTTTAAAAGCTTGAATCACCATGCCTGGCCACTGCAGATTCTTAAGTGGGCCCCTGAGCCCTCCTGAGGCTGTTTTGGTTTGTGGATAGCTGTCTATAAGGGTGAACGACATGAGTCTGAACCATGTGGGTTCAATAATACGCCAATTTTCTTCCACCTCTGCCACCCCCGAAAGTGCAGGATCAACTCCTCTTCTTCCTCTTCCTCCTCAGCCTATTCAACATGAAGATGCAGGATGAAGACCTTTATGGGCATCTACTTCCACTTAATGAATGGTAAATCTATTTTCCTTATGATTTCCATTTCTAGAGCTTTGTTTATTCCAAGAATACAATAACATACAATATATGTGTTAATCGACTTTTACCAATAAGGCTTCAAGTCAACAGTAGGCTATTAGGAGTTAAGTTTTTGGGGAATCAAAAGTTACACATGGATTTTGGACTGTGCAGGTTGTCCAGGGCAAACTTGTTTTGTTTTGTGAAGGGAGAGAATGAAGGCTGGTATCTCCTACTCTGCCATCTTGGGGATATCACTAACTTATAGTAGTACCATACTGACCCATCCCATTGACTAAATGAACTTGTTTATATGGCTTCCAAGATTCTAGGCCTCTTGTCAGCTTCATTCACTTGAAACTCAGGATATTCCTTTCCCATTAGAGATGGGCAGTGACAGGCTTGGAAAAGTGCAAGGATAAAGAGGACTGACAGATTGTCCTTACCCTGTTTTTAAGTAAGCACACTT